AGGAACAGAATCCCAACTGTGATTCATCTGCTGCTGCCGTCTCACACCGAAGACGTACGAACTCTCCGTTTCCACCAAATGATGCCTGAATGAGATGCGTTTTACTGTTCGTGACCTTTCCTACGGGAGCTGCTGCTGGTCGATATCTGCTGCAGCGAGACTCTAATTAAATCTGCAGCGACAGTAGTTCAGACGGATCGTTTGTGTCCAGCAGAAGAAACCCGGAGTGCAGGAGAAGCCGCTCTGGAGTCGCTTCAGCCTTCATGCGCTTCATTTTGTTTTCTGGCCTGCAGGTGCTTTAATGCTGTTTCCCTTCCGGCCTTCACGTCGTTGGATTTAACGTCATCTGCAAAAACAGCCAGAACCTCCAGCAGAACCCGTCTGCTGCCTGTGGTTCAGTTTGTGGTAAAACGGGTTAAACACATCGACTGCTGCTGCTGCTGCTGGTTTCTAATCGACATCATTCTAAATCAATGCTGCGGTAATTCTGTTCTTTCCTTCTGCCAGATGGCGACTAAAACCCTTCACACATGTGGTTATTGTTCTCAGCATCACCTGAGGCCGTCGGTTCTACCTCTGAAGCTTCGTTATGGTTCCAGACCCAAAGATAAATCCCATAAATGAAGCCTCAGCAGCAGCTCCCGACTTTATAATGCTCTTTAAATAAAAACAACATCAGCTCTGTAAAGACTTTCTGCAGAGTCAAGAAGGTTGTTTGTGTGATTTATCACTTCCGACTCATTTTTTTAAAAAAATTATTTGGTTTACCATTTTTAAATGCTAAATATACACAATTTTTCATTGAAAAATCAGCAAATATCTGTAAAATGTTGATATATTTTGGATTTTAACGCAGTAAAAATGGTCTAATTTTAGGGTTAAAGAAGGAATTAATGTTTGTTAAATTATGGTAAGTTTTTTTTAAAAAGGTGAACAAAAAATAACTCATCAAGATTATTTAATAAAGTTACTATTTAAAATCAATTAATGCAGAAATGTAGGTTTAAGCTACACAGAATAATAAGTTGGTTTCATTACCAGCGTTAATACAACTCGTCTAAACAACTTTAACAAATATAAAAGTTTCTCTAAATCAGTAAATAATAATTCTAGGNTCATGATCAGCAACAACTCTGATTCAGATTTATTATTATTTTCTGTGCAGAGACTGATTTTTAAAAATGTCAAAATTGCCACAACAATATTTTATATTAATTTTATTTCCCACTTAATTAAAACACAATTAATTCAAATTAAATAAATGCAACTTTAATAAAAGTCCAGGAAGTTACATCAGACTTTACAAAATAAAACTGATTAACAGCCCGTCTCATGATAATATATTAAAATAACTCTTTTCCAGTAGTTATTGACCATCTTTAAGAGTCATGTGTCTCTTTGTAAAACCACTCAGAGCGTTTATCTTCAGCACCACATCAGCTTTAACACATTCCATCCTCTGCTGCTCTAAAAGGCGACTCGTGTTTCTGGGCTTTGAGGTGGATCCGTTTCGCCGGCGGCGCTCCAGGCGAGACGTTGCTCTGTTTACAGGAGGACGTCTTTGTGGGAGAGACAAATGAAAGCTCTGACTGAAGCCGACCCGCAGACGAGAAGCTGCAGAAACACCTCCGAGTGTGAATAATTGATGCGACGGGTCGGCAGCAGGAAACCTCCCTGAAGCCGGGCCTGCAGATCTATCCGTCTCCTTCTCCTCCGACAGCCGCCTCCTCCTCAGAGTCGCTACTCAGATATAGATCCTCTGCAGCACCTTCAGCGTATTGACGAGGAACACGAACTAATGTTCCGCTTGACGTACGATGTGCTCGTATATGCAGACGACAGCATGTTGTTGTGAGTTCAGCCTCCAGCTAAATGCATAAATGAGAGCAGGTTCATTCAGCTTCACTCAGGTCCACACAAACTGGAGAGGTCCAGCTTTAATACGCATCATAGTCGGGCTTTAACGGTTTTAATCCTTAATATGTGAATTACTCACATCAAAAACAACATTCTCACCTGAGTATTGAAACCTGTTGGCTTCTTTTATAAAGCAAATTTTGTTTTTCCACTTTGGCAGAACGTAGCTGGTTTGATGTATAAAAACTTTACGTGATGTGGTTCAACAGAAATAGTTTGACTGTGAGTGTTTTCTGTAAATTTGTAAAGAGTCGGAGATAAACTCCAGGATTAAGGCGTATAGATCAAATCAAATCAGGTTTATTGTCATGTTGCTGTACATACACAGTAGTACAGGCAAGATGAGAGCGTTTCTTCAGGATCATTTAAGTTTTATAGAATGCACGTCTGGGATAGTCAAGACACTAAACGTTCACTGTCTCCTGAAGGGGGCGCTGCGTCCATGCGCGCCGCCATCACGTTGAACATGGAGAACCTCTTCAGGTCCTGGTAGGTCTTCAGGGACACAACGATGGTGAAGCTGCAGATGCTGCCCAGAGCT